ATATAATTGTATAATCATTTTCAACCTTGACATTGTGTGGAAAACATTTGTCATATTTTTATATGATTCAATCAAATATTTTTATTTTAATGGGCAATATTCCATAAAGTATGACCATACATTAAACTACTCAACAACTGTGGAACTTTTTAGATGTGTGTGTGTGTGTGTGTGTGTGTGTGTATCTTACTGCCATCAACTTGGGATGGACTCATAGCTAACCTTTCATTGGGCTTCTGAGGCTGTAAATTGGGAGGGAATTGCCCTTCTTTTTTTTTTAAGTTTCCTGTTCTTATTTTGTTTATTGTTTAATGGGGGAAACAGCTAGCAATGTCCTAGGTATATTAAAAATGTATATAATTGAAAATGATGATAAGAGTGATGGAGAGTGCATAATGTGAGGAGGGCTTGAAACAGGAAAGCTGGCTGGTCTGGGAGTAAGAGGATGGATTTAGGAAAGGGAATTACCATTTAAATTGAGACTTGAGGAATGATTTGGAGTTAATTTAAGTGAATGAGCTGGCTACAGAAATTTTGGACAGAGGGATGGTACTGGAGAGGCCTCAGTGGTAGGGAGAATGTGGTTCATTCAGAAACTGGATAGCTCAGTGGAGACTGGAGCAAAGCTATGTCCCAGTTTTATTCTAAGAATGATGGCAATCTAAGCTACGGGGGTTTTTTGGTGGGTTTGTTTTTTGGTGTTTTTTTCTAAGGTTTCCAGTCATTCATTGTTGTACTATTCTCCCTGCCCACTTCCTACCCCCCAACTCACTCTTCTCCTTGATAAGTAAAAGAAAAAACTCTTTCATTGTTATATAATCCCTCCCCCCAAGTCCACTCCACTGTGAAGCCTTCATTATGGACTCCTTTCATGACAATAATACCCAATCATATGTCACTTTTAAGCATTTCTTTCCCTCATCTGTTTCAGTGCAGTATATATCATTCTTCCCCTCCTTCTCTGCCTTCCCTCAACCCCAATGTCTGTCCAGTTTTACAACAGTGGCCCTATGCAATATTTGTCCTTTTGTGACTGCAATATTTCACTCAGAATAATGTCATCCAGGGTCACCCATTTTGCATAATATTTCATGAGTTCCTTGTTTTTCAGGGCTGCATAGTATTCCATTGTGTGAATATACCAGGGCTTCTCTTTTTTCAACAGAACCACTAGTGGATTAAAATCATTATTTCTCAGGTCCACTAAAATGCAGCCACAGCACTGCTCCTTAGCATAGCTTTATGTCCAACTAAAACTGGTATCACTGAGTAATTATCAAGCCTTTGGAAAACAGCAATGATTAACTCAAGGCTTGAGGTGATTTCAGGCTGTTGGTGTGTGTGGCTAGCTAGAAGAAATCTATGCCTCTGTCCTCCTCAGCTGGTTTTTCTGAGCACTGCCTCAGAGAACACCATGCTCCCCTTCTTTCTCCAGCTGCCTATAACTTGCTTGACTCATATGCTTCACTTACTCAACCTACATTTGCTGTTGACTTGTTATAATTTCAGGTTCTGATCTATAATGGCCAGCTGGACATAATTGTGGCCGCTCCCCTGACAGAGCGCTTCTTGATGACCATTGACTGGAAAGGAGCCAAGGAGTATAAGACAGTGCAAAGAAGAATCTGGAGGGTCTTGAAAGCTGATGATGAAGTGGCTGGTTATGTGCGGCAAGTTGGTGACTTCCATCAGGTATGGAGACCCTTGGGAACCCATGACCTTGGGGACCCTGGAGAGGTCCCTAACAGCCAAATTTCCCATCGCAATACGATGTGGTTTTGTTTTTTTTTTTAATTTCCTGGCTACTGGTGCCAAGAGTGTTGACCATGGAGCCAAGCAGACTAAAGTTGTCTATGGAAACTGGATAATAGTAGCAACTGAAGCCTGCATATTAGTAAGACATGATGGACTTAAACACAGTCATCAACAGTCAGACCATCTCCTAAAACTCCACTTTCTAGCAAAAATAGTGGCCTGCGTTCATATTAAAGTACATGTACAAAGGTTACAATATTGTTCAAGAGATAAAATGATGATTAAAAAGACCATGCTCAGTTGTATTAATTTCCTAGGGCTTCCATGATAAAACGAAGTGACGTAATACAACAAATGTTGATTAGCTCACAGATCCAGAGGCTAAAAGCCCAAATCAGGGTTTCCACAGGGTCATGCTTTTTCCAAACACTCTAGAGAAAGATCCCTTCTTGTGCCTCTCAGCTTCTGGTGGCCCCATGCATTCCTCCTCACTTTCTGCAAGCAAGGCTTCAGCTTTCGGTATAGATTGTATCTCAATGTCAAGAAAACAAATATTCTTACCACTGGACCAATACGCAACATCATGATGGATAGTGAAGAGGTTGAAACTGTCAGCAATTTTATCTTGCTTGGATCCACTATTTAACACCCTTGATACCAGCAGTAAGGAAATAAAGAGATACATTGCACTGGGGAAATATATAGTTAGAGACCATTCCAAATTAATGAGGAATAATGATGTCCATTTGAGGGCTAAAGTGTGTCTGATTCAGGCATGGTCTTTCCGATCACTTCCTATGCATCTGAAAGCTGGACAGTGAATAAGGATGAGAGAAGAAGACTTGATGCCTTTAAGCTGTGGCATTGGAGAAGAATACTAAATATCCCATGGACAGCCAAAAGAACAAACAAATATGTCTTGGAGAGGGTGCAACTGGAGTGCTCTTTGGAGGCAAGAATGATGAGGCTTCACCTCACATACTTTGGACATATTGCTAGGAGAGGCTATTTGGTGGAGAAGGACATGATGCTAGGAAGAATTAAAGCATCAGCAAAGGAGGGGATGACCTTCAACCAGGTGGATTGATGCAGTGACTGCTGTATTGGGCTTTTGTGTGTCAGGAAGTATGAGAATGGCACAGGATAGAACAGGATTCAGATCTTTTGTTCATAGGGGTGCTAATGTATTGTACTCAACTCAATGGTGCCTAACAACAGCAGCAATAATATAATTACACTATTCACTTCCAGAAAGGTTTTGGAAAATAATTAAATCTTTGATATGTTTTCCTTTGTCAAGAGGAGGAATTTAAATCTTTCCGCTTTAATTTCCCCTAATTTTTTTATTAGAGGCAACATTGCTACCTCAGGCCCCTAATTTAGTGTATTAGGAGTTATACATTTCTAATGCTCAAGTTCTCATTAGGTAAATGCCTTAAAAGTATTTAACTTTGAGATGTTGTTATTGTTATGGGCTGTTGGGTCAAGTACAACTTTTAAGGACACTATGAACAACAGATCAGAATTTCACTTAATCCTATGCCATCCTCAAGATCTCTGGCATGCTTGAGACCATTATTATAGTCTACCTTGATGAGGACCTTCCTTTCTTTATTGGGTCTTAGACCTTTCCCAGTGTCTTGTCTTTTTCAAGGACTGAGTCTTCCTGATAACATTCCCAAAGTGTTTAAAACAGAGTTCATCATCATTGCCTGAAAAGATCAAGGTTGCACTTCCATCAGGACAGTTTTATTTTTGTGGCAGTTCATGGGACACTCAGCACTCTTTGTCAATATGACAACTCAAAAGTATCAATACTGCTTCCATGTGTGTTGATTGTGCATCTAAGTAAAATGGAATAACTAATAGCTTCAATAATGTGTCTATCAGATGTTGCTTGTTGGACCAGGGGTGAGGATATTTTTGTTCATTTGTTTTCTTAATGTTTAGCTGTAATGCATGTTGATAGCATCTTTGATCTTCTGCAATAGGTACCTAAAACCTTTTTCACTTTTGGGAAGCAAGGTTATGACATAAGCATAACACAGACTGTTCATGAGTCTTCCTCCAATTCTGATGGCACGTTTTTCATCATATAGTCAATCTTCTTAAATGACTTGTTTAACATACATACTGAAGAGGTGTGGAGAAAATATAGAGCCTGGATGCACACCTTTCCTGATTTAAAACCATGCATTTTTCCCTTATTCTGTTTGGACAACTACTTCTTGGTCTGTGCATGGGTTTTGCATGAGCTCAATTAAGTGTGATTCCCAGTCTTTCCTACATTATTCATCATTTTACAACATAGAAAAGACTTGTTATAATCCATACAGTCAAAATGCCTTTACATAGTTGATAGAGCACAATAAAACATTTTAAAGTATTATCTGTGTTCAGCCAATATCCATCTGACATCAGCAATGATATTCCTCATGCCACAACCTCTTCTGAATCCAGTCAGCAGTTCCCTGTCAGTGTACTGTCCTGGCCTTGTTTTAATAATTGTCGTTGCATTCTGTTGGATCACCTGTTGTTTGGAAGAGGAACAAATATGAATCACTATCATTCAATTGGGCAGGTAGCTGTCTTCCAGATTTCTTGGCATAAGCTAAGGAGCACATTCAGGACTGTGTTTGTTTGTTGCAACAACTCAATTGATATTCCATCAACTCTTGGAACCTTATTTTTTCCTTAATGCTTTCAATGCAGTTTAAATTTCTTCCTTCATTACCATTGGTTCTTAATTATATGCTACCTCAGTGTTGACCAATTCTTTTTGGCATGATAGCTCTGTGTATCCCTCTCATCTTCTTTTGATTTGATGCTTTCTGAATTATTATCAAGATGTAGCCCATAGAGTTCTTCAGTAGTACAACTCAAGACTTGAATTTGTTCTTCAGTTCTTTTAGCTTGAGAAATACAGAGTATGTTCTTCCCTTTTTATTTTCTACTCTAATTGTTTGCACATTTTGTTAAAATAATTTGATTTGTCTTATTTCCAAGAGCACCTGGAAATCTCTCTTACTTCAACATTTCTTCCCTTTGTTTTGGCCTCTCTATATCTTGATACAAGTTTTACTCTCTTCTGATTTCCATCTTGGTCCTTTCTTTCTTTCCTCTCTTTGTAATGGCTTTTGTTTACTTTACGGGTGATGTCAACCCCTTTGCTGTTTGGTCATTAGTGCTGCTTTGAAATAGTAAGGGATGATTCATCAAGAATTCCATAAAGTTAGTCATTTTATTCTTAGAAATTGTGATTATTCTAATGTATAAAGGTATACTTGTCTTCCCCCATTCGGTCAAATAACATATAAGAAATCTAAAAGTTATATAAACTAACTGTCTTGGACAAAAGAAATGACAAGATGCATTTCTAGGACCATGCGGAAAGAAAATTTTGCCTTGGAAAAGTCATAACATTTTTAAAATTGAGATAAATTACGTGAAAGAATAAAATAATGGTGAAATGGGAAACTAAATGCTTTAAAGTGGAAATAATTTTGGCATCATTTATTATGAGATCCAGAAATGGAACTGGAAAAGATAAAAAGAAGACTATTTACATGCAGGAGGATCCTGAAGAAAAAAGGAGAGTCTGCTTCTGTGAACTTGAGCACAGTCTTCCATTTGGCCCTGACTTGAACCACAAGAAAGAGTTCGCTCAGAAGGCCAATCTTAAATGATGGATTTAAGATATGCAAGATGAAGCACTCTAATTTCAAAGTAACCTAGACTTGATGTTCATTCCTTATTTGATTTTTTTAAAAAGAAGTTATATCAATTATATAGTAACTTTTATAAAAAAAAAGAGAGAAGGGAAATTCAACAACTACATTTAATATTATGTGTATTGGCATAGCATTTTACAGTCTAATAGGGAAATATACTTGATTTTTTTGCTTCTTTTCTTTACAAAAAAGACCTTTATTTATTTATTGAATTATTGCATATTATAGGGAAAAATCACAAATCATATTGTATGTACAAGCAAGTTAATTTCCACCAAATGGACAGACTTTTGTACTCTTCACCTGGATGAAGAAATAAATCATAACCCAGGTTCCTCATAGTCATCATTCCCAACCGGCAATGCAATTGTCAACTCTTCAAAGTATCAACTATTCTGATTTCACACCTTGATTGCTAGGGTTTATTTCTTTTCATTTTACTAAACTAAATATTCACTATGTATTCCTTTCTATGTAACTTTTTAAATTTTTTGCTCCTGAGATTTATCTCTTCTTTTGCTTGAAATAAATCTTGGCTCCTTCTCATTATGCTATATAATACATGATATCATGTTAACTACTACTACAGTTACTGGAACAATGGTCTGAAATATACTGGAGATGATGAGGATGGCCCAGAACAGGGCAATTTTCAGATCTGTTGGTCATAGGGTTGATAGGAGTCATAGTCAATGCAAAGGCACCTAACAACAATAACTTTTAGCTTTAGTGCCATAATCCTTTCATAGTTCAAGGTCGCGCCTCTCTGGCATTTGGAATCCACTGACTGCTTAGCAGGGGATGGATGGGAAATCTCCCCCTTGTGATTTCCAGCTTTTGAAAACCCACTGGAGGATTCTCAGTCAACAACAATGACTTTCACTTTGACTTTTATCCATACGTGATAGTACTGTGACCTGTTTAATGGCATCATTCTATTTTTTCACTATTAGAAATAATACTGCTATGAACAATAGTGTATGTGTATATATGTATATATGATATGTATTTGTATTCTGCTGAAAATAGAGTCATAGGCTGCCAATTTACACACCATCCAGCAATGCACAAAAGTTTCCTTGTTTCACATTCTCTAGCCCCTTGTTTGCCAGGCTTCTTAGTTCTCGATGTTCTGGTGGGTGTCTACAGCTGGTTTTGATTTTGTATGTCTCTGGTGACTAATGAAGAGGAACATCTTCTTGTATG